TATTTACATTGAATAATGACATCATTTTACTAATGTAATGTTCATTAATAAGTAGCTCTTTGACTAAAGAACTTTGATTTTTTAAAAAAATCCTAACAGTAATCACCGGTGAAGAGCCACATGCCTAGAGTTTGTTTAAATACTTTTGCTGGAAATCCTGTCATGTACATATTGATTCCCTGAATGTATATAAAACAATGATAAATGTCAATTTGGGGCATTTCTTTGTCTCAATGAATAAAAAGATCTGTTTTCAGCAAACTAAGAAGCTATTTCAAGAATATTAGGGAGGCTGGGCACAATGGCTTGCACCTGTAATCCCAGCACTTTGGGAGTCTGAGCTGGGAGGACTGCTTGAGGCCAGGAGTTCAAGCCCAGCCTGGGTAACAAAGTGAGGCTCCATCTCTACAAAAAAATTTTTAAAAATAAAAAAAGATGATTAGGGGTTAATTACACTTATTAACACAAACCTGATAGCTTGAATAAAAAAAATGGGCCACTTAGTTATAAAAAGTAAAATTCCACCTTAAATCTAACACCTTCCAACAACATAATGATTGGTATCTCTATAGCACAACTGATTAAAAAAACAGTAAGTGGCTGACTATACACCTCAAGAAAATTCCAGAAAATGACTAAAAGTCTACATCATCTATGGATTAAGGCTGCACCAACAGAAATGGCAGTGAGAAAATCGAGGCAAGGTATGGTCCCTGCTCATCTGCACTGTTAGGTAACATGTGGAACACTGTGGTAAGTTCTGATTATTAACTTGCAACCATGGGAGTATGGAACTAGAAATTTTAGCATACTGAGTTACACTACCTGGGAAGATGGAAATTTCCTCTCACAAAATTTTAGGGGTTTAAGAAGACAAGTATCTGGGGGAAGCATTAAAAAGAAAATTTAAAAATAAGAAGGGCTTCAAAATAGAAGATTACTAAGGATACTTCCAATTAAGTGTTTCTACTGCACAATGCACAAGAACTAAAGAAAAGTTCTCTCACACCAGGACTAACTAAATGATTACCTTTCCTCCTGTTGTGACTGTTTCTTCATCCTGCTCATCTGCAAAATCAAAACACATAATTTATTTTAAAAACAGGTAAATGCTGTTTGGACTATGTGGAATTTTATGGTCTAAGGACTGACACAGGACAGAGAAAAGGAATAAAATAGACCATTATTAAAGCAAAATCACCCTGAATAATTCAGTAAATTAGACTTTTACACAGAAGCACATAGGTGATTAGAAATTCAAACCAAAAATCATTTAAAATTTCCACCAACGGGGAATTTATAATTAATTACTGCTTTAATATTAGTCATGATCTTGCTTAATAACAGGTAAGGGACTTGATTAGAGTTCTTGTCTCCCTAGGTTTCATGAAAAAAAGTGGACATTATAGGTTCCAGAGGAAATGAGTTAAAGAATGAACAGTAAAGAAAGAGGTGATAAGGATGTAAACAGGTGGAAAACCGTACCACGCTCGTGGGTCAGCAGAATCAACATCATTAAGATGTCTATACTACCCAAAGTGATCTACAGATTCAATGCAGTCCCTATTAAAATACCAACATCATTCTTCACAGATGTAGAAAAATTAATTTCACGCTTCGTATGGAACCAGAGAAGACCCCGCATAGCAAAAATAATTCTAGGCAATAAAAACAAAATGGGAGGTATCAACTTACCAGACTTCAAACTTTATTATAAGGCTGTAGTAATCAAAACAGCTTGGTACTGGCACAAAAACAGAGCCACTGACCAGTGGAACAGAACTGAGAACCCAGATATAAAACCATCCTCGTATAGCCACCTAATCTTTGACAAAGCAGACAAAAACATACACTGGGGAAAGAATCCTTATTCAATAAATGGTGCTGAGAAAACTGGATAGCCACATGTAGAAGACTGAATCAGGATCCACACCTTTCACCTCTCACAAAAATCAACTCACACTGGGTAACAGATTTAAACCTAGGAGTGAAACTATTAGAATTCTAGAGGAAGATGTGGGAAATACTCTTCTAGACATTGGCCTAGGCAAAGAATTTATGAAGAAGACCCCAAAGGCAATCACAACAACCAAAATAAATAAATGGGACCTGATCAAATTAAAAAGCTTCTGCACAGCCAAAGAAACTGTCACAAGAGCAAATAGACAACCTACAGAATGGGAGAAAATTTTTGCATGCTACACATCCGATAAAGGGCTGATAACTAAAATCTACTTAGAACTCAGGAAAATCAACAAGAAAAAAATCAAACGACCCTATCAAAAAGTGGGCAAAGGACATGAACAGAAGCTTTTCAAAAGAAGACAGAATAATGGCCAAAAAACATGAAAAAATGCTCAACATCTCTAATCATAAGGGAAATGCAAATCAAAACCACAATGAGATATCACTTATCTCCAGCGAGACTGGCCTTTATCAAAAAGTCCCAAAATAATAAATGTTGGCATGGATGCGGAGAGATAGGAACACTCATACACTGCTGGTGGGACTGCAAACTAGTGCAACCTCTGTGGAAAGCAATATGGAGAAACCTTAAAGAGATACAAGGAGAAGTACCATTCGATCCATCAATTCCATTACTGGGCATCTACCCAAAAGAACAAATGACACTCTATAAGAAAGACATCTGCACCCGAATGTTTATAGCAACACAATTCACAATTGCAAAGATGTGGAAACAACCCAAGTGTCCATCAATACATGAGTGGATTAATAAAATGTGGTATATGTATACCATGGAGTACTATTCAGCTTTAAGAAACAATGGTGATATAGCACCTTTTGTATACTCCTGGATAGAGCTGGAATGCATTCTACTAAGTGAAGTATCCCAAGAATGGAAAAATAAGCACCACGTGTACTCACCATCAAATTGGTATTAACTGATCAACACATAAGTGTACATGTAAGAATAACATCTACTGGATGTCGGGCAGGGGCAGGGGGAGGGCTATTTGCATACACAAAGAGTGCAATGCGCACCATCCAAGGGATGGGCACACTTGAAACTCGGACTTGGGGGGGAGTGGGGAGGCAAGGGCAACATACATAACCTAAACATCTGTACCCCCATAATATGCTGAAAAAGAAAAGAAAAGAAAAGAAAGAGGTGATAATCCCTATAGACAAAAGTCCTAGTAAGAGTGTTAATATCTTCTGAGAATAGGGGACTCAAAACCTAAACATTTGCTTTGCAAAAACCAAGAGAAAACCCATGTAAAATTTAAACTAGGCAGCTGATTTCCATAGTGAAAACCAAAAGTGCCACTTTAGAATGGGTAAGGGATTACCAAAAGAATAATTACATGTCAGTAACATTTAAGTTCTTTATTATTATTATGACCCTTGGTAGTGACTAAGACATGAAAAAGCTCAAAAAGAACATAGGATGCTGGGGGTGGTGGCATGGGCCTGTAGCCCCAGCTACTTGAGGCTCACTTGAGCTCAGGAATGAGTCCAGCCTGGGCAACATGAAAACCCACCTCTTAAAAAAAATAGGGAAATCCTACTTTCATTGGTTGTATTCATTCAACACATAGTGCCAAGAATCTATTTGAAAAGCAGTATTTGGAGACCAAGGCAAAAGGATTACTTGAGGCCAGGGATTGAAGACCAGCCTGAGCAATACAAACCGCATCTCTACAAAATATTTAAAAATTAGCCAGGTGTGGTGACATGTGCCTGCAGTCCTAGCTATTGAGCAGGCCGAGACAGGAGGATTGCTGAAGCCCATAAATTTGGGCTGCAGTAAGTGATGATTGTACCACTACACTCCAGCCTGGATGACAGAGATTGTGTCCCACCCACCCCCACTGAAAAAAAAAAAAAAAAGGAAGAAAGAAAGAAAAAAAAAGAAAAGCAATAAAAAAACTCATTAGAAAAGCTGGTTGGATATCTACAGCCTGGTGGCCAAATGTGGTCCACTGCCTGTTTATGTATGGAATCTAAAAATTCTGAATGGAATCTGGGAATTTGACTCTCAGGATATTCCTAGTCAACAGTTTACTAATAAGAAGGATAGTTCACTGTACCTAGACTATTTATGCAAACAATATGGTTTATGATGAATATCTGCTTTCACACTGGGGGCCTGGCCAGGAACGGTGGCTCATGCCTCTAATCCTAAGACTCTGGAAGACTGAGGCAGGAGGATTGCCTGAGGCCAGGAGTTCGAGACCAGCCTGAGCAAGAGTGAGACCCCATCTCTAAAAAAAAATAGCTGGGCGTTGTCGCACATTGTTTTAGTCCCAGCTACTTGGGAGACTGAGGTAGGAAAATCACTTGAGCCCAGGAATCTGAGGTTACGGTGAGCTATGATGATGACGACACTGCACTCTAGCCCGGGCGACAGAACAAGACTCTGTTTCCAAAAAAAGTAAATACATATTGGGAGCCTGGAATTTTGATACATCCTAGGCAGAGTATACTTACATACCCAGCCCCCCAGTAAAAATCTCGGGCATGGACCGTCTGATGGGATTCCCTAGGGAGAAACGCTGCATATGTCCTGCTGCATTTTCATTGCTGGGGTTAAGTGTACTCTGTGAATCCTCATGCGAGAGCATAAAAAAAGTCTACACCCCGACTCTGTGTCCTTTTCCTTTATTAATTGTTTATCCCATGTAGCTGTAATAATGGTAGTCATCACTACAACTATTTAATATATGCTGAATCCCAAGAATCCTTCTAGAGAATCTTGAAACCTGAAGATGATCTTGTGAACCCCCTCAGAGACATGTGAATGAAGTGTGTGTGTGTGTGTGTGTGTGTGTGTGTGTGTGTGTGTGTTCTAAGAGACAGGATCTCACTATGTTGCCCAGGCTAGCCTCAAACTCCTGAGCTCAAGCAATCCTCCTACCTCAGCCTCCCAAGTAGCTGAGACTACAGGCATGTACCACTATGCTCTGCTGAAAAATGGATTTTACATTTCTAAAATGGGTAGAAAAAAAAAATCAAAGGAAAAGTATTTCATGACACACAAAAATTAGCTAAAATTCAAATTTCAGTGCCCATAAATGAAAGTTTTATTGGAATACTGCATAAGCATTTGATTACGTATTACGTATGACTGCTTTTGAGCTACAATGACAAACGTGATTAGTTATGACAGAGACTATATAGCCCAGAGTGCCTAAAATATTTACTACCCAACCCTTCACAGAAAACATATCCCAATCCTCAGAGGATATAAAGATAAATAATATTTTAACAAGTAATAAGGGACTAGCATTCAAACATTCAACTAAATTTTAAGGAGTGCCTACTATGTGCCAGGCACTGTCCAAATGCTAAAAACACAATAATGAACAAGGGAAAGTATCTGCCTTTATAGAGTTTACATTCCAGTTAGGAGTGGTATGGGATTTAACAAAAATATATCGGATGCTGAAAATATCATAAAGAAAATAAAAGTAAAGTAATACATTACAGAGGGATTGGGTGGGTGGGCCACTTAGAGCAAGTAAAGAGAGAAGTCTCTGAAAAGGTGATATTTACGCTGAAACATGAGAGATGAGAAAGACACAACATGCATTCCATAGAGAGGAAGCAACCAAATCAAAGGGATTGAGGTGGGGATCAGCTTGGTGACTTTATAAAACTGAAAGAAAGCCATTGTGAGCATGAATAAAGGCTGAGAGAAATAAACACAGGACAACAGCATAGTGTAGTGACACAGTGCATTGGCAATAAAGTTAAGACAGACCAGGACCTGAATCTGGGCTCTGCAACTAAACAGCCAAATACTTGGAAAGAGGTTACTGAACCTCCCGATCTCCATTTCCTCATCAACAGCTAACATGGTTTAATAGTGAAGTTCAAACACATGGAGAAAGATACCTGGTGTCATACAATAGAGATCGACACTGATGCTTGATGTGTAAGTTAGGAACAAATAATTACTAACAGGCATAGGGGATTCAGGGTGTGGAAAAATATGGCACTAATTATCAACAAGAGTCACCCTCTGCATAAAAACTATTTTGTTTTAAGGAAGTGACTAACAAATCTAGGTAAGGTTACCAAATATGACGTTTTTGTTCACTGGACATTGGTAAACCATAGGATAATCAACTTCTTCCTAAAAGGTGTTAGTACAACTTAAACGATCCCTCTAGTCAAAGTATACAATTCATTTTTTTTAAGAGATGAGGTCTTGGCCGGGCGCGGTGGCTCACGTCTGTAATCCTAGCTCTCTGGGA